ACTATAGACTAGACTACTAGACTAGACTATAGACTAGACTATAGACTAGACTATAGACTAGACTATAGACTAGACTATAGACTAGACTATAGACTAGACTATAGACTAGACTATAGACTAGACTATAGACTAGACTATAGACTAGACTATAGACTAGACTATAGACTAGACTATAGACTAGACTATAGACTAGACTATAGACTAGACTATAGACTAGACTATAGACTAGACTATAGACTAGACTATAGACTAGACTATAGACTAGACTATAGACTAGACTATAGACTAGACTATAGACTAGACTATAGACTAGACTATAGACTAGACTATAGACTAGACTATAGACTAGACTATAGACTAGACTATAGACTAGAGTATAGACTAGACTATAGACTTGACTATAGACTAGACTATAGACTAGAGCTATAGACTAGACTATAGACTAGACTATAGACTTGACTATAGACTTGACTATAGACTAGACTATAGACTTGACTATAGACTTGACTATAGACTAGACTATAGACTAGACTATAGACTTGACTATAGACTAGACTATAGACTTGACTATAGACTAGACTAAAATATATCGAAGTAGTTTTAGATGGGTATTCGACTAATATTTCTATGTGTGACAAACGAAATGATAAAATTAATATACCGTTCAACTTTTTTGACGGTGGGTATAAAAATAAACAATTATTTGCTTGCATGTTGGTTGGTTGGTTTGACTGGTTGCAGTTCGGGCCGTCTTGATTGAATGATTGTTTGTTGGACGACAATTATTTAATGACATGTCAAGTTAGTCATATTTTAATTAATTACAAATTAATTATTATAATTTACAATTACACTATATATGTAATGGAATTGTGTTGAATTGCGAATTATTTAAAAATAATCTATAGTAATTTAAATAAGTAAATATTTATTAAATTAAACTTTATCGGAAATTGTATTTTAAATTAATATTGTTCATATATATTATCTTTAAGGGCCTTTTTCGGAATATTAAACTTATGTTCATATTAAGATCGATACATTTTATGGAATAAATCTAAACTTTAATTTTACTTGTCTTTCTTTAATGCTAATCTTTAAGTTCAACTTTTATCGGAAATGGGTCTTATACGGCACCTATGTATGTTCAATTATAAACCAACAACAGACGGAAAGTATATAGAGAAATATACTTCCTAAAAATTGCCATCTAATTTGCATATTTTTTAATTTTTGTGCAAAAAATTCACAACTCAGTAAAATGATTGTATCATTATTTTCTAACACCCGTTGATTTAACTACATTTATTACATAAAATATTTTAATTGATTGTTTATTGTTTTAATAACCATACGTTTTCAATATTATTTATTTGCAATAGTTTTTCATTTACAAGGCAAACCTTTTAAGTCATAATTAATTAATTGAATCATTTGATTTAAATTTATATTTAATGGCTTTTTAAGGTGAACAAAATATAAACGAGTTTAACTTATTTAAAGAGTTGAGGAATTTATTTATGAAAATGTAAAAGATTCTGCTGGTAATTTCACAACAAATATTTAAAACCAAAAACAAAAATTAATCCTTTTATTAATTAAAAGTTTCTCTAAAGAAACTAAAAAGTAGAAAGAACTACTGCTAGTTTTCTAGTGGACTATAGACAGATCTATAGTCTGGTCTATAGACAGATCTATAGTCTGGTCTATAGACAGATCTATAGTCTGGACTATAGACAGATCTATAGTCTGTACTATAGACAGATCTATAGTCTGGACTATAGACAGATCTATAGTCTGGACTATAGACAGATCTATAGTCTGGACTATAGACAGATCTATAGTCTGGACTATAGACAGATCTATAGTCTGGACTATAGACAGATCTATAGTCTGGACTATAGACAGATCTATAGTCTGGACTATAGACAGATCTATAGTCTGGACTATAGACAGATCTATAGTCTGGACTATAGACAGATCTATAGTCTGGACTATAGACAGATCTATAGTCTGGACTATAGACAGTTCTATAGACTGGACTATAGACAGATCTATAGTCTGGACTATAGACAGATCTATAGTCTGGACTATAGACAGATCTATAGTCTGGACTATAGACAGATCTATAGTCTGGACTATAGACAGATCTATAGTCTGGACTATAGACAGATCTATAGTCTGGACTATAGACAGATCTATAGTCTGGACTATAGACAGATCTATAGTCTGGACTATAGACAGATCTATAGTCTGGACTATAGACAGATCTATAGTCTGGACTATAGACAGATCTATAGTCTGGACTATAGACAGATCTATAGTCTGGACTATAGACAGATCTATAGTCTGGACTATAGACAGATCTATAGTCTGGACTATAGACAGATCTATAGTCTGGACTATAGACAGATCTATAGTCTGGACTATAGACAGATCTATAGTCTGGACTATAGACAGATCTATAGTCTGGACTATAGACAGATCTATAGTCTGGACTATAGACAGATCTATAGTCTGGACTATAGACAGATCTATAGTCTGGACTATAGACAGATCTATAGTCTGGACTATAGACAGATCTATAGTCTGGACTATAGACAGATCTATAGTCTGGACTATAGACAGATCTATAGTCTGGACTATAGACAGATCTATAGTCTGGACTATAGACAGATCTATAGTCTGGACTATAGACAGATCTATAGTCTGGTCTATAGGCAGATCTATAGTCTGGACTTTAGACTGATCTATAGTCTGGACTATAGACAGATCTATAGTCTGGACTATAGACAGATCTATAGTCTGGACTATAGACAGATCTATAGTCTGGACTATTGATCTGTCTATAGTCTGGACTATTGATCTGTCTATAGTCTGGACTATAGACAGATCTATTGTCTGGACTATAGACAGTTCTATAGTCTGGACTATAGACAGTTCTATAGTCTAGAATATAGACAGTTCTATAGTCTGGACTATAGACAATTCTATAGTCTGGACTATAGACAATTCTATAGTCTGGACTATGGACAGATCTATAGTATGGACTATAGACAGATCTTTAGTCTGGACTATAGACAGTTCTATAGTGTGGACTATAGACAGTTCTATAGTCTAGAATATAGACAGTTCTATAGTCTGGACTATAGACAAATCAATAGTCGGGACTATAGACAAATCAATAGTCTGGACTATAGACAAATCTATAGTCTGGACTATAGGCAAATCTATAGTCTGGACTATATACAAATCTATAGTCTGGACTATAGACAGATCTATAGTCTAGACTATAGAAAGATCTATAGTCTAGACTATAGACAGATCTATAGTCTAGACTATAGAAAGATCTATAGTCTAGACTATAGACAGATCTATAGTCTGGACTATAGACAGATCTATAGTCTGGACTATTGACTGATCTATAGTCTGGACTATAGACAGATCTATAGTCTGGACTATAGACAGATCAATAGTCTGGACTATAGACAGATCTATAGTTTGGACCATAGAGAGATCTATAGTCTGGACTATAGACAGATCTATAGTTTGGACTATAGAGAGATCTATAGTTTGGACTATAGAGAGATCTATGGTCTGGACTATAGACAGATCTATAGTCTGGACTATAGACAGATCTAGAACTGTCTGGCCTATAGACAGATCTATAGTCTGGACTATAGACAGTTCTATAGTCTGGACTATAGACAGATCTATAGTCTGGACTATAGACAGATCTATAGTCTGGACTATAGACAGATCTATAGTCTGGACTGTAGACAGATCTGTAGTCTATTCTATAGACAGATCTATAGTCTGGACTATAGACAGATATACAGTCTATAGTCCATACAGTCTATAGTCCAGACATATCTATAGTCTGCACTATACTGATCTATACTGATCTCTAATCTGGACTATTGACTAATCTATAGTTTGGGCTTGGACTATAAATTGCTTTAGGGTTGACAGTAAACAGATCTGTAATCTGCTTTATAGTCTTTATCAATAATCTAGACTAAAGGGATTATCTGTACCGATGAGTGGTGAGTAATTCGAAGCAACCGAAAATGTTACTTTTCTTGTTAATATGTAAATTATCGTGTCCTTACGATCATTTCAATTTACACTTCCGTTTTACATTCTTTAGCTTTTATCGAGAGAAATTTCATGTCTATTATCCCTCCTAGATGGATATCTATGACTCATTTCCACCCTGGCTAGTGGTTATAATAATAATAAGTAAAATGCATCAGATATCTTATCAAAGTTCACAGTTTTAATTAATTTTCGCTTTTCATCATTTATATGCATGTTGTTTTGTTTTTTTCATATTATTACCAAATCTGGAGATGATTTTAAATAATTGACATGAGTTTTTTTATCTCAGAATTGCGAATGAATCATTTGGCAAAAACAATATTTATTATTACTTATTGTTTAATTAGAAAAAAAAACTAAATATTTTTCCAAGAATTGGTCTATTACGCATAACAAACAATTGCAACTTTAAAAGCACTGGATGACAAAAATTATTTGCTCTTACGAATGGAAACTGTAAAGATTTTAAAAAGGGATTTATTGTTAATTTAGAAACAAAAACAAAGACCAGTGTTAAGTATAGCGGCTAAAACAATGAAATTGTAAAGAACAGAAATGTTTAACAGAAAACTGTTAAGCACAGTGGTAGTGTTTAAAGAGAAACCCCTGACAAATACTCTTAAATGTTAAACGTTTAGAGTGGTGCTCTTAAAAATATATAACGCTTAAACGACTGATGATGATGGTGGTTGGTTGCTTGCTTGCTGGGCTCTGACTGAGTGACTGACTGACTCTGACTGAATGAATTGAATGGTATGGTTGGCTCGTTGTCACTGTGTTGTGTTGTGTGTTTCGCAGTGTGTTGTTCCGTTGGTTTGGTTGTTGGTAATACCGCGGCCCGAGTGTATTAAGCGTATTTGTATTAAACAACTGTTTGAAAATAATCAGTTGTAGTTAAACCGTAGCGCCGAACGGTCTAACAATTTTCTCTGAAGAAAATTTATTATATTTCTTAATTTTTCTCTGTTGCAAGTAAACAAAATAAAGAAAATCTTTATAACAAAAAAGAAAATTCTATTCACACAAACACACACACACATCTTAAGCAAAATAAAAAAAAAACGTTTGTACATTTGTACAGGCGTTGTTAGTTGTTAACAAAAAAAGAAATTATTTTAGTTTTTTTTTTAAGATTTGTTGACAAAATTTGTTTAATGTTTGGTTTGTGTGTTTTTTTTTTTAATTTAAAAAAAAATTTTGTCAATTAATTTAAGCCGGAATTTGGTACGTGTGCGTTTGTTTTAGAGTGTGCGGTCCAAAAAAACAAAAACAAACAAATTTGTTAATAACAAGAATGTTTAGAGAGAAAAAAATTGTTTAAACAGCAGCAACAGCAGCATTAAGAAAAAGTTGTGTTTTAATGATAAATTAAATACAAATTTATAATAAATTAAAAAAAATATAAAACAAAAATAAAGAATACTAATAACAAAACAACTAAACAGAAATACCTGATTATGACGTTTCAATTTTATTATAATTATAATTCTTAATCACTTTTTGTTGTGAAAAAAAATAACAAAAAATAAAACAACAAAATATAAATAAATTTTGTTTATTTAGTTAAATTTGGCGCGTTTTTTTTTTCTCTATAAAGTTTAATAAAAGTTTAAATAAAATTTAAACAAATTTTGTGAAAAGTTTTAAATTGAACATGAAAATTCTTGTCCACCCCGACGTATGAGTGTTAAGGAATTAATGGTAATTATTGGTTTATTTTGTTTTATAACTATTTTATAAGGAAAATAATATGAAATTATTAGTAAATTAGATTAAAATGTCATTTTCAAAAAATATTATTGAATTTTATATAAAACTTTGGTATAAATTATGAAAATCAATGCATTAAAAATTAAATTAAATTAAAATTTACTTATCTGAGAATCAATCTGTGACAATATTACAAAACTGTTCAATGAATTGCAGACGTCTCTTATTAAATTTAGTGCAACATTCTCAATTTTTATTTGATTTATAAGGAATCGGTTAAAATTTGTATTTTTGTTCGAATGCCATGATTACACAGTGAGACAAAATAAACTAAAATAGAAAAACCTGGTAACCTAATAGGTATTATAGAGTACAACACAAATCATTTTTTGAAATTTGTCAAACTCCTCAGCCATTTATGCCCAAAATTAGGGATTTTTCCAGTAAAAGTAAAGAGAAACAGATAAACGAATTTACGTTTTTGTATTTTGCTCCATGTCCGTCTGTCTGTCCATTTTTACAAATATAGTCTAATAGTTTTCCAGATATACGTCTTTTTATATTTACTTCGCTATTATTTCGAAAACGTTAAACATTTGGAATGTAACCTATGAACAATTTTAATAATCTAATTATTTTATTTAATTCATATGGTAGATGTCAAGGTCCCTATTGAAAGTCTCTACATTTTTTCCAAATGTTTACATTAACATCAAAGTTTTTTGTGCAAAATTTGAGTATTCTAGCTCTAATAGTTTCTAGGATAATAGAATTTTTGTGTTTAATTCACATGGGCGGTACCTTTTTGCTATGTTTACTTGGAGATCAGAGTTTCACAGATATATGAATTTCTAATTTAATTCATACGGAAGGATCCAAAACCTCTTCAATGTTAATGGTCTCAGTGAAAATTTTAATGTTTTAGCTCTAGTAGTTTCCCAGATAAACCATTTTTTTTTTGTGTTTAATTCATATGAGATGTGCCACTTCCCATCCATCCATTTTTGTTTTAAATATTCATGTCGATTTTCTCAGTTATAATAATTCAAGATTTTCTTTATATGGGAGGTGTCACGCCCACTATAGGTAGGCCATGTTAATGGGAAGACTCTAGCTAGTGCAGTTTCTGAGAAATGCGACTTTTAATAAAGTTTTTGTATGTGGGGGTGGCATAAAATCTGGCATAAATCTGGCACAAAATCTTTTTATCATAAGGATCATAATTGATTCCTCATATAACCCTCCAATAGAAAATTACATTATTTTCAATACATCGTTCAAAACTCAAAAGTGTTAAGAGATATTCAACAAACTTGATTTATACACTGAAAAAAATTCATGCCTTCGTTGTTTCGCACCACGAAATTCTTTCGTAATATATACGAAATTGTACGAAATATTTTAGTATAATGCAAAATAATCTTGGAAAAATTAATTTACATAAATTGAAAAAAGGGAATTTTGAATAAATATGGTAAAATTTACTAAATATTAATTTATGCAAACATTTTTGTTCATTTTAAAATAATTTTTCTAATTTTAGTTCAAAATTATTCTCCACACGAATTTTTAATTTTTTTATGAAAATAATTCGTGAATAATATTATACTTTTTCTTAAATTTTATAAAAATGTTGTAGTTTTATTTAATGATAATTTAATTAATATCATTATGTTTAATTTCGCTAAGATTTAAGAAAAAAATATTACGAAAGGTTTTCGTACTTTCGTAAAAATAGAAAAGGGTTTTATTAAATAATATTTCGTATTATACACGAAATTTTTGTAAATATTACGAAAATAGAAGTTACGAAATTTTTTTTCGTAAAATTGAGCATGGATTATTTTCAGTGTAGGAAATCATGACTCTTAAGAAATCTGAAGAGTTTGGTCCATAATTAGCCCATGTTCCCATAAAAAGTCTTCTTTCGAAAATGACCCCAACGTTCATAAGTGTTGAACCGGGAATAGAAACAGTTTCTTAATTAAAATTTGCAAATAATAGTAACACAGGCCAACAAATGTTTAACCCGGACGACCAAAGAATACTTTTCTAAAGGACTTAACAACCCATCACAATTCCATTTTTGGCCATATTTGAGATGCTATAAAACAGCACGAAGATTTATTTATTATGTTATGTCGTCTGAAAGCCTGCTATCACTGCTATATATTCTTTTTTTTCTTCGAGATATTTTAACCTAAAGCTTTGAACAACCGTAGCTTCTCAAATATGGCCAAAAATGGCATTTTTTTCAAACTTTTAATTTTTAATCACGGTTTTTTCGAACTTCGGCACAAACATGTTCTATGGGAACCTAAATCTTTTTGTAACGTTTTATAAGGATAGGCCCATAATTGACCCTACCGCCCATATAAAGCCCTCTTCAGAAAATGATTTTATAGCTCATAACTGGCTAAAAGAAGCATCTATAGCGGTGAAATTCGGCACAAACATGTTTTATGGGAACTTAAATCTCTTCTTAAAATTTTAAGTTTAATAGGAACTAAAATCATTTTCTTAAATTTTATGATGGATGGATCCATAATTGACCCTACCCCCCTATAAGGTCCCTTTCAGAAAATGACTTTAACGCTCATTACTGACTCAAAAATGCGATCATAGCAGTGAAATTCTACATAAACAAGTTTTGTGCTAGCCAAAAACTCTTTATCAAATTTTATGGAGATCGGTCCATATAAGGTCCCCCTCAGAAAGTGACTGCAACACTCGTTACTGGCTCTAACGCTCAAATACGACTACAGCTATGAAATTTCACACCCTACACCCCTATTAAGGTCCCCATTAGAAAATGACTTTAGGACCTGTTCCAAATATTTCCCTGATGTTCATTTTAATATCGACGTATGATTCATAATAGATCTAATAAATGAGAAAATTGCTTCGGTAATATCAAAGTTCATTAATAAGGATGATTTGTTGATGGTGGGTATATAAGATTCGGCATGGCCGAATATAACACTCTTACTTGTTTAAATGTAAGTGTAATTGGTTGGTTAGTTAACGTGATAGTTCACTGCTTGACAACCCTCAAGTAGAGGCGAAGAGGCTCCGTTTTGACCGGACCACTCCACTCTTTACATACAGTATTGTATAGTATTAGAACCAGCCTGTAACCGTGAGAAATATCAGGATATTATTAAGCATAGACCCAGATGTCTCAACAAGGTTAGATATGAAGTAACTGCCCAGAAAACAGTTTCTCTTAACGTTTAGAGCATTCACAGAGAAGATGGAAGAACGTTTCTTTATTTTCTATGTCTTTGCAACTGCGACAGTGTTGTTTAAAGGGGAGCCCAAGCGGATATGCATGTCTGCCTAGCACCCAGTGTGCTATCTATCAATCTGGATATAACTCCGGATACAAACAAGGGTAATATCAGAAAGGCCACCCATACTTGACACATCCTTCTGGCATTGTCTAACTAATAGGGAAGTGGTAGTATAAGAGTTTAATGAGAGAAGTCCTAATATTAACAAATTTTAAGAATAAAAAGAAATCTAGCTATCTGTCTGTCGGTCGGTCTGTCGGACTGTCTGTCTGTCTGTCTGTCTGTCTGTCTGTCTGTCTGTCTGTCTGTTTGTCTGTCTGTCTGTCGATCCTTCTGTGTGTCCATGTAAACCTTGTGCGCACGCTATAGGTCGCGATTTACAAGATAATTTGATGAAATTTGGCAAATAATTTGTTTTTTATACATTGTCCCAATATTGACAAATTTAAAATGAAATCTAGCTATTTGTCCGTCTGTCTGTCTGTCTGCCTGTCCGTCTGTCCGTCTGTCTGTCTGTTTGTCTGTACGTCCATGTAAACCTTGTGCGCACGCTACAGGTTGCATTTTTTAGGATAATTTGATGAAATTTCGCACATATTCTTATTAAAAAAAAAAAAAAACTGTGCGTTTAATAAACTTATGATTTCTTTTAAGTCATTGATCAGTCTCTAAACATGAAATCTTCAAACAAGAACAAAGCTTCCTGTAATTTTCTTCAAGTCTCATCAATGACTTGAGCAATTTTTTTAAATCTTTTATAAAATGTTTTATTTTACAAAACATCTATTTAAAATTCTATTTAAATTTTAAGTTTATTGCACAAAAAATAGACAATTCTTGACAATGTTACAAATTGTTAAATTGTATATATTTTATAATTTATTAACACACTCTCATAAAAATAAACAAAGAGTGTAAATAACATGCTATTTATTTAAAAAAAAAAAACAATTACAACAACAATAACAAAAATATTATAAAATTATTTACATTTTGCAAAATGTAAAAAAAAATGTGTATTTTCCATGACGTTGTGTAAAATAAAAAATAAAAAACAAATAAAAATGCGAGTTTTGTTCATATTATTTACAAATTCAATTCGAATCGATACAAAAAAGTATTATTTTCAATTCACTTTTCTTTAATAATAGCAAAAAATTAAATATTCATTCATTATTTATAAATAAAACGAAAAGGTGCAAAAATCATTAAAATATTAATTCTATTTTAGGTTATATTTATGAGGATTTTCAATAAAAATAAATATTTTGAAAATGAATATTCAATAAACTACTTCTTACATGTGTGTATGTTTGCAAGTAAATCCATGTGTGGATTGGTTCATATGAAAATGTTTATGGTATTACCGATTTTGGGGAGTTAAAAGCTGATCAAAGAAATAAAAAATGTTGGTGCCTACTCGACCCACGGCAATATAAATGGACTGATTTTGAAAATGTTTATGGTTAAAACCAGTTTAATCCCTCCTACAAAAATTTATATAGATCGATACCTAACGATATGCTGCCGTAGGACATCATTGGTTCGGCCATGTTTGCCTTTACTTTATCAACTGTTTTATTCCTAAGAATAAACTCTGCTGGGGAATTTTATATTTTATTTCTGTCTCTTCTTCTTTATCCATGTATATTTAAAATGTCATAAAACTGTCGCTTAAACATCAAACGAACTACGTGT